TGGGATAAGATGATTGCACACACAAGAACTTTGTATTTTTTTCATTGGTTGTTGGTCTCAACGTTCGAAATTAGAGTATGACGGATGTTCTCTTCTCCAAATTAGCACTAGGCCAACCTCGATGGCTTGCCTTTCTGTTTGTTTCGTAACAAAGAAATAAGGAAAAAAACTACACTAGGATCAAGTATTCATTTTCTTTTGGGCATCCAACTATATGAGTTCAATTTATACTGAAACTAAAAAGTTAGATATGGATCCACTAGCGTAGGCAGAACTTGAAACTACCCATGTCCTCTTTTCATAATATAAATACTTAATTAACAAATATAACTAAAACTAATTATATCCAAATAATTTATTCATAGATAAAAAAGTAACTGACTAATACAATCATTGTTTTTATAAGCAACCACAATGGGATTTCATGTTATGATAGAAATAGAAAAACATTCGTTGTCTAAACTCTTAAGTAAGTCTCTTTCAATGTATCCCACTAAACAATCATTAGCAAACTAATCGCATGTTCGACTACGAAATTTATTCTTAATATTACACAAAACAAAACAAAAATGCTCTTTCTACACTTGCAACTGCAATTGGTAGAATCCAAACTAGTCAATTGTCGTTTGTTGGTGGACAATTTCAGGGTTGTTGGGGGAAAAAAATAGAATAGCCATAAGGAGAAAAGAGATCTAATTAGGTCTTTATTGCCATTGGAAATTCATTTATAAATATAATAACTTGATTTTATTTTAATTTATTAACAAGTAATGAGTTGTGTTGTAGTGACAAGATAGTCTCATACAACCTATAGGTGTTGTGTTCCATCATCGATATAAATATATAAGGTATTTTTTTTCCTCCGAAATTTACCCTGTCCCGTGGCAAGGCCTAAATAGAACAAGTTAGATCTTTGTAATGCTTCTTCTGTGTGGTCGAGCAAGTTAGATGACTGAAAGAGCAAGAAAGTCTTCACTCGTTGCTCCAGTATTGCAATTTATCTGAATTGCTATTTGTCGCCCTAAAATTTAAATTTTATCGCCCTAAAATACAACAAATTGACATATGTACCCCTCGAAGTTGAAACTGAACTTGTCGTTGATTGAGCATTCCGAGCGGCACTGTCCGCTGCCGCAGCGGCGGCTTAATTGTCTAATTCCACGGCCGGCTGGTTATAAAGTTAGAGAAGATAAATTGGAGTCCGATTAGAATTGGATGGTTGTTAACCGGGATAAGATGTCCACCGCCGCAGTGGCGGCTTAATTATCTGATTCCGCCGCCAACTGATTATAAGGTTAGGGAGATTGTTAACCGGGATAAGATCAATTTCCCTAGTGGAGGAACCTATTTCCATTAAGGTAAATATGATTGATTATGCCCAGAAAGTTCATACCTTTACTCTCCCTCGCTGCAAAGCCATAAATTGACATATGTACCGATCACAGAGGGAGATGAGAAAAAAGAAAAAAGATTGTTTTTTTATTGTATTTTGTTAATTGGTGTAGTAAATAAGTTTATTTAGGGTTAAGTAACTAAGGGTGTTAAAGTAAATGTAATTTAATTAGGACGACAAATAAGAAGTTTTAGGGCGACGAATAGCAATGCCCCAATTTATTGGTACTTGCGAATGCGGTGGTTAAGGCCGGGGGAAGAAATTTTTGGAGACCTCTGTAATCATTAGAGAATCCATTCTTGCCTCCCATAGGACAAGATATATAAGTTGTTCCACGTCAGGCTTGCAAAAAATTTAAGATTATACTATAGCTGAGGAGGTAATATATACAATTAATATGAGTTGAACAATGGATTAGGATTTGTATCTCGGGCTAAGTAATTTTTTGTTGTTTCTCGATATTTGGTTGAAGGTTTTGAAAACTGAAATTCGAAGAACAAGGCGAGATGGAGGGTTGATCATTGGTTCCATCCTCAAAGCCTCAATTTTGAATTTTTGTTTCAAAAATCGAGTAAGTACACACAACTCGACTTCGATTTTGATCACATTCTATTTTATACATGGGCCACAACTTGACTTGTATTTTGTAGTTACTTCGGTTGGGCGGAAGCAAAACCAACCGAATAACCACCTCTTTTCTCTTATAGGAAGGGACTATAGGAGTTTTAGGAATAGTAACTTGTATTATTATGAAACCACAAAGGGGTTTATATAGATCACAAGATTTGGACAATAAGTAAGAGAACCACAATACTAGAAGGACACAGTAATACTAAGAACTATACTATAAGGACAAGGAAATATAAGATTATTCCTAATCTATCTCTAACACGCCCCCGCAAGATGATGGTACGAAGAACAACATCAATCTTGACCAACATACGCAAATCTTGAAGAACACGCCTCCACAATTTGATGGTGTAGAATATGATGCAAACTCATCCCACTCTTGTGCTTGAAGAGCGAAGCCAACTAATCGTCGTCTTGGAGAAGAAGAAATCATCAAACTTGCAATTCATATTTTGCAACGAAACTCACTCGCCGTCAAAAGTTGACCAGAACGAGATGAATGAATTGGTTTTTACGATACCAATAAACGTAAACTGGTGTAGGATGGGAGGCATTCATCCGAATGACCGTTGTCGGATAAGCTTTCTTCGTTCCATACAGGTGAAGAAGAGATGGTTGGAGGATGATCGTGGCTCCGCCATATAATTCTGCAACAATCTGAAAATAAGATAAGAACGATAACATCGGCTATAAAAACCGGATCTTGATCTCCAAGGACAATGCGGCAGTGGTCAATAGTCAGAGCACAAAACAACTATCAGAATCTGCAACGAAATATAACGAAGATGACATGGAATAAAGGAATGCTTTTGGGACAGTGGAAATTGAAGCTTGAACTATTATGCTGGGGATGAGAGGCATAGAGGAAGATTTGGGAAAAAGGGATTTTATTTATTAGTTTTATTTGGTTGAATGAAACGAAGACCTAGCAAAATAAAGTAGAAGGGAAGAATAATAATATGAATAGGGATGCAGTGGGTTAAGCTGTGGTCGGAAGAGGACCGGGTGAGTGAGCTCATCCTGCCGACGAAAGAAAACAAGGTTTTAGGGTTCCTGGATCAACGCCGTTAAGCAATGGGCTCTGATACCATATAGGAGTTTTAGAAATAGCAACTTGTATTATTATGAAACCACAAAGAGGTTTATATAGATCACAAGACTTGGACAATAAGTAAGAGAACCACAATACTAGAAGGACACAATAATACTAAGAACTATACTATAAGGACAAGGAAATATAAAAATAGGAATCCTTGCCATTTTTCACGTCTTTAGGATTTCATTATCGAAAAGAAATAACGATCCCGAGTTAAAGCTGTCCAAATGGGTCCTGCCTATATGGGTCCAAATTGGTAGTCATCTAATCAAATCTGTACTAAATTGTAATTTTCTTTGATACCATTTTTTTCTTTCTTCTTTTCATAATTCTTTGATACCAATTTTCTTCCCATGCATTAATCACATCCACATCCATCTCCCCGTCAGTGGAGCTTCTTCCTGGGATTTCATTTATGTAGTGTAGTCTGCAGTAGGCTCCACTGGATCTTCATCCAACACAATATCCTGTTGTGTGTTCAGGCCAAGTGGGCAACAAGGCTGTTGTAAACAAACATTGGTCCCAAATTGCCAAGTACTACAGTCCGCCTCTCTGGGCCGTAGGCCCACACAAAGAGGAAAAAAGCCCTAGTTACAAACTTTCTGCGACACTGTCGCCGACGATAAGCTTGCCTTTTGCGGTGCTGCCGGCCGGCCGGCGCATGTTATTTGCCCATATTTTATTTTTTTTATGCATGCATCGGGTTTCCTGACTTGGGAAGAACATGATCCCATTATTCCATGGGTGTTGGATGATGATGAAATTACGAGGCGCGAAAATCTCTACGCGATTGGCAATTGCATGCCATAAACTTTGGCCTTTCGCATTTGCCCGTCCTTCCTTGTCGTGCGCCTTAGCTAGCTTATCAATCAAACTTCTTTTTTTTTTTTTTATAGTATTAATCAACTTCTGTAACTACACTACTGATCACCGCACGAGTGTGTGTATATATGACAATTAAATCAACAATCTTGCTATCAAATTATGTCAACGATTCAGTTAACGAGGAGAATTGTTGAATTGATTAACGGTGAGTATGTAAAACTCACAAAAATATTGATGGGATGAGACGAAAGGTAGCTTTAGACTCCCTCGATCGCTATTCATATCTAACCCACAAAACGTATCTCCAAATATATACGGAATATTTAATGAAAATGGATGCTAACTATGGTGATTGTTTTATGGACTAATAGATGGAGTAGGATTGGATGTTTTGAATTTGAATTAACAATATTAACCAATTATTCAAATTAACCAAACCAAATGCTACCGGTTAATATGGTTACCACGATAACCAATTTGTTTGAACACCCCTAGATACTAGGGTTGTCGAGAGCCTCCACCATAAGTGAACAATCTGAATGAAGTCTTACGGATTTGAGACTTTACACGTTGGAATTTCGATGATCAATAACCGATCTCATTACAACACATGATGAGTTTATACAAAATTCAAATGTCGTAGTTATTTTTCTTTCCTATTACAATGAATGTAAAAATTCGTACTACTTGAAAAATTAACAATGTCATAGCTAACATGTTACGAAGGGAGAGAGTTATTTCTCTTCGGGGTCGTTTGGAAGTTGCGATAGTTTTGTTGAGATTGTCATTATGCATGTATTGTTTACAATGCATCGTTTTTTTGTTTTTTTAGCAGAAACAATAGATGAATTGTTTCTGTGATGTGACAGAAACTATCACTCATTTTGAGTGATTGTTATATCTCAACTTTTAATTGTGATTATTGAGATAATTGAGTTGAGATTGTTTTGTTTCAGCTTTTATACACAATCACACATACAAAATGTTGTTTTCTACAATGCATCAAATTCGACAATACATATTATACATGCATTCTCAACAATATATCTATTTAACAATCGCAACTTCCAAACGATCATTACCGAAATTTTGATCTCCTTCCACCTCTGCTACCATGTCATCGGTCCCACTCCTTCACTCTCCCCGGGTCCCACCCAGCAAATCCTCCTGTTCTCCATTCCCCGCAAACCGATGCTCCTTTCTCCATTCCCCATTCTCAAATTTCAAATTTCACCCCTTTCTTTCTTCCTCCCTCCCTCTCTCTGTATATAAACACTCTCACTTCCCCCCACTTCAAACCCTCACTCTTTATCCCACACTCTCATTCACCACCTCCAATCCCTTTCCCACAACCACCGCAATGACCCCGCCGGCCCGTCCCACTCCGGCGACGACCCTACTCATCACCCTCTCCCTTCTATCCATCCTCTCCCTCGCCACCGCCTACCGCCCGTGGCCGCCGACCACCCACCCAAACGCCACCGACCTCGCCCTCGGCGCCTCCAAGAAATTCGAAGGCTCGTCGGACTTCGTCCACCTCCGCTACCACATGGGCCCGGTCCTCACCAACAACATCACCGTCCACGTCATCTGGTACGGCACCTGGCAGAAGCCCCAGAAGAAGATCATCCGCGAGTTCATCTCCTCCATCTCCGCTCCCACGCGCCGCCGCCGCTCCACCGTCGCCGGGTGGTGGAAGACCGTACAGCTCTACACGGACCAAACCGGTTCGAACATCTCCCGATCCGTCCGGTTAGGCCGGGAGAAGAACGACCGGTTCTACTCCCACGGCAAATCCCTCACCAGGATGTCGATCCAGTCGGTGATCAAGAGCGCCGTCACGGCGAGAACCGATCCCCTCCCCGTCAACCCGAAGAGCGGGCTGTACCTCTTGCTGACCTCCGATGACGTGTACGTCCAGGATTTCTGCGGGCAGGTGTGCGGGTTCCACTACTTCACTTTCCCTTCCATCGTGGGGTACACGCTCCCGTACGCGTGGGTGGGGAACAGCGCCAGGCTCTGCCCCGGGGTTTGCGCCTACCCGTTCGCGGTGCCGGAGTACATGCCGCGGATGAAGCCGGCGAGGTCGCCCAACGGCGACGCCGGCGTCGACGGGATGGTGAGCGTGATCGCGCACGAGATTGCCGAGCTGGCGAGCAACCCGCTCGCCAACGCGTGGTACGCGGGGCAGGACCCGAGTTTTCCGGTGGAGATTGCGGATTTGTGCGAGGGGATTTACGGTACGGGAGGTGGCGGTTCGTATACCGGGCAGATGTTGGAGGGACCGGATGGCGCCACGTATAACATGAATGGGATCCGACGGAGGTACTTGGTCCAGTGGGTGTGGAACCATGTGGTGAATTACTGTACTGGCCCTAATGCTCTCGATCAGTAGTAAATTTTGTTTTTGGGTGTTTTTTTTGGGGCGCCACTTTCCACTTTTGTAATTTGTGTATTTTTTTCTTCTTTCTGGAATTTGATGATTTTTCCTTTCTTGGCTCTCTTTCTCTCAATCTATGGGTGTGTGGGGTGGAATTAGGTGATAATTCTTATAGGGTTAGCACTGTGATAACTAGCAAAAATCACCACGGATTATTATAAAATCAATACAACATCTAAGATAAATCACTACTAATTCAAATTAGTAGTAGTTTTTTCCTTGGTTAGGACGGTGCTAACTATTGTACAATTAGCACCGTAGCCGTTTCCGGGTGTGGGATATCTGGATTAAGTTAGTTAAGGGTGGTTAAAAAGATGTTTGATGATCGTTATAGTTATTGATTTAGTACACTTTTTGTTTTCCGTGAAATTGTGTGTAATGTTAGTTGCCTAATAGCAACAAACAATACTAAAATTGCTCAAAAGGTTTTGCTTGGACCACGAAATCCCGAAATGGTACGGAATGGGATGGAATTTAAATCTACAAAAAATAATAATAATTAAAATAGTGCTGATTTGATTAATAATGTTCAGCGGGTAATATTGGAAATGGAGTGTGATTTCGTATTTTTTCTCTTACATACCGTTTGGTATAAATGAATTCTATAGGGTTGGAGGAATTCATTTGGAAATGAAACATTTTTTTGTGTTTGGTATTTAAAAGAATTTATTTTCAATTCTAAATTTTGAATTCTAATGGAATTGGAACTAGTTATAGCAATTCCGAGGATTGAGATGAAATTTCCAGATGAATTCCACAAGCATTTACTGCAATTTATTTTATCTCTAAAGATTTGAATATGACATACCAAACACAAGGTTTCATTTGACAATGAATTCTACTACAGGATAATTAATTTTACAACGAAATGAATTCTCGATTCATTTAGTAACAAACGGTCTGTTAGGAAATAGACAAATCTCATTTCCGTTAACACTCAACAGAAAGTTGGGATGAGAAAACCAAAAATGGGGAAAATTAAGAACTTTATCTACGTGATATCAGATTTGGGGCAAACAATTTCACTCTTCCAGATCCACCTACGAATATTTAATTTACCCGCCTAATCTTAAATAAGATGGCGAATCAGATTTTGTACTTTTGAGGGATAATGCTGGTGGTGAGAAATTGTTGCTATCTGGTTGGATTACTTGTGTGTCTTGGGCCTGGGGGCATTAAAAAAGTACAAAAAAAATGAAAATGCAGAGTGATTTTTAGCGAGTTGGGATCCATGAGTGAGGGATCGGGTGCAACATGGTCTTTTGATCCAACGGGGTATGCCCTTGTATACTTCTACTCCAGACCGATTTTTAATCCTCTTTGGCTTGGAGAAGGTATTTGACCTTTTCATTTTAGGATTTGGAGAATGTGTCTATAATCTATACAAACTTTCTAACCACTATGCAAATCTGTACTCTTCTAAAATATAGTGAATCACAATTATTTGTGTGTTCTTTATTTTATATTTTATTTTGCGGATTACATGTTCTGTCATATCGTAGTTTGTCGGTTCACCAAATCGGTAACAAAACAAGACACTTAAATCTTCTTATTAGTTGTGGGGGGAAGGGGTTTGGAATGATCAAATACCGAAGATGTGAGAGAGTGATATAGGATCAACAATTCACATTCTCTCAATATTAAATATAAGCTGGTGAGCTGACTAAAAATTGGAAGATTTTGAAAGGGAACTTGACAGAAATGAACCAAGTGATTATGCATTTTGGTTGCTCTAACTTATAATGTAAATCTTGTTAAGAACCAAAGCTTAGTAACCACTCTCTTAGAGTGTTAGTGACATCAAAGTTCAGTGTCCACGATATATGAAATCTTGGAGTGTCATAGCTAGGGCTGTTAATGAACCAAAGCGCTCATGAACGACTCGGTGTTCGACTCGAGAAAAACTCGTTCGACACTCGATTCGTCATAATCGAGCCGGCTCGCTAACAAGCTCGTTTACTAAACGAGCCGAACTCGAGCTACACCAAGTTCAGCTCGAAAGCTCAAGAACAAGCTCATTTAATGGTTTGGCATAAAAAAGGATTAGAATTCATGGATTTTATGTATTGAGATTGGGATAAATATTGTGTTTTATTTTAATAGACTTTGCTACAGGTTTGAATGTAATTTTGTGCTTACTTCTAGGTCAATATTGAGCTATCATGAACATTTTATGAGCTGAACTCGATTTTGGGCTCATTAAACTTATTTGACGAGCCGAGCTCGAGCTTTCATTTTTATAAACGAGCCGAGCTCGAGCTTGCATATTAAAGCTCGTGACGAACACGAGCCGAGCTCGAGCCTGGAATATATTAACGAGCCGAGCCCGAACTATGGCAAAACTCGACTCGATTCGGCTCATTAACAGTCCTAGTCACAGCAAACGAAACAATGGCGGCCCATTTACTGGGATTTGAGCCCCAATTATTTGCCATGATGCTCTGATGCAAAAATGCTCCTTTCTCGGGGCAGGATACTATGACTACCCCAAAAGGGGTTGGGTTTTTGACACCCCTTCCTGCAGCTATCCATGTGTCATTCATCTTTGGGTAAGTACTAATGATTATTGCTTTATTGGGAAGTTGTCATTATTATTGCTTTATTGGGAAAATTCTCATAATAATGATGTATGGGAAAATTCCCATAATATGATAATAATGATGCATGGGAAAGTTCCCATAATAATGATACACGTGAAAACAACAATCTTTCATCTCCCCTTCTCTTCCTTTCAAATTTCTTTCCACCAGAACCCTCTTCCGGCGTCTTCACAGTCCAACAAAGCCTCCCTCCGGCGGTCCACCCTCCGTCGGCCAACTTCCATCAGCGGCCCAACTTATCGTTGCCTCCCTTTCCGCCGACCCTCTCCCGTTCCTCCGTTCCCATCGAGTCTCGTCTCCTGCGACATCGACTTCATCACTTCACACGGCCGGAAATCATCAAGATGATCTGGACGATTTCGTCTCTAACATCGAGCATATGGAAGACGGCGGCAGAGGAAACGCACCAGTGGACTGGTACGTGTACCAGTGGATTGGTACGTATACATTGACTTCATCACTTCACGCGGCCCGAAATCATTAACGTCGAGCATATGGAAGATGGTGGCGCTGCCGTGAAAGTGGAGCCAATTAGAGACGCCGAGGAACACCAAAACAATCTCAGTAAGGATTTGTATTCATGTCTCGTCGACTTCTCCCGCCCGACAATGTACCAGTGCACTGGTATTTTGTATCATTGAAGCATTAGATATAATGTACTTGTTTTAAAATTGTTGAGGGACAAATTTCTAGATGAAATATTGATGTTCAAACGTTACCATTGCAGCATTAAATATAATGTACTTGTACCACTGAACTGATACATGTATCACTAAACTGATACATGTACCACAGAGAGTATGGCATGAGAGAATTTACTGGTATTTGTATCATTGAAGTGGTACTGCATTTTTGCTCCGTTATTGTTTATCATTGTTATGAAAAATATCATTGCACTGGTATTGTTCTCACTCCAACTCGTATTTGCCACTTCTAATGTACCACTTCATTTGTATGGGAGAAATACACTACACGCCACTAAACTATAAGAATTGGGGGAAGGATACTACTAATGTGAAAATAGAGCACCAAATACCATTAAAGTTCCCAAAATATGCATCCATTAAATTCTTCATCAATTTGATTAACCAAATGAATACAATATATTTTTCCACCTCAAGCCTCTTTAACTTTCGTTGAAACTCGACATTAAAAGTTGCTGGACCATAAATATCTTCATTGTCATTGCTCCATTTTGCAAGCTCCCTAATCGCTCTCGCTTGTAGTCCGGAACGTGCTCTACTCCCTGCTCCGTGCGATTTGTCTTTCCTAGCGTGCATCCGACGCCGCTCCACAACTTCTCGAGGAACTCACTGCTCTGACTGAAATCAAAGAAGGCAAAATCAAAAGTCAAACCAATAAATATAACTACTGATAGATGAGATCAACAATAAGACTTTCACTGCAGATATATCAATCCATTGATAGCTCTATCCTAGAAAGTCATTCTAAACATAACTACTACGGTAGTTGTACTTTAAACAATCATAATGATTTTGTTTGTACCACTACAGTGATAGCACTACCCACAAAAACATCACAACGAACTACCACTGCAGCGATAGATCAACAACTGCAGTGATAGACACAGTATGCCACAAAAAATATTCACATGGTTAACTATATCAATGTGGCGATATACTGCAGTCAAATAAACAACACTACATTATCCAAGAATCAACTATCACTGGAGTGGTATACTTCCGTACCAGAATCAACAATTTATACCACTCCAGTGATAGACATACCAGTACACAGGCACTGATACCACAAGAAAAAATTCAGTTCTCGAAACTCAAAAACACAGATCTGGGTGATGAAAAGACCATTGCACTAGTATTAATACCACACGAAAAACCCATATATATGAGTTTGGGAGAGAGTGCTACCTCAGATTCTTTTTCGTCGTCTTCGCCGGAAAGGGGAGGAGGGCCAACGCCGGAAGGGTAGGAGGATCGCGTCTTCGCCGGAAAGGTGAGGAGGGTCATCGTCTTCCCTGTCGATCCCTTCGCATCGGCGATCGAAAAGATAGACCTGTGGCGTGAAGCGGAGGATGGCCGACGGATGGGATGGGCCGTCGATGGTCGTTGAGGAATCGTAACGGAGGCCGGAAGGGTGATGATTCCGTCGCGGGGAGAGGTTACGTCGGGGGAGGGTTTCCATAGATAGGTTATTGAAAGGGAGATAGGAGGAGACGAGAGGGAGTGATAAAAGGGTGAGGGTTAATTAATTTTGTATTGACCTTGGGAACCATTTTTTCCTCGATACCCGATTTCTTTCCTTTTCAATGTAGGTTATAGAGCAATAATTACGTGATTACTGCTCAATAAATGGATGTTTAATCCTTACCATTCGTTTAACACTAATAAAAATGGATGTCATCTAAGTGGGGTGTCAAAAATCAAACCCCTTATTGAGGTAGTCATGCTAACCGCTCCCTTCTCCTTCTCTTTTCTTCACAGTCTTAAAGCATGGCGGAGGAGATAAAACTCTGGTTTATTCTCCCTCTCTTTCCACTTTTTTCCTGTTGGGCAAATGGATTGCAGACGCTGTCATTTTGCTGGTGGTAAATAAGTTCCAAAGGGCAGGCACTTGCCGGATGACAAATTCTTCCTTCCAACACCATGACTTTCCTCCATAACGTATTCGTGTCGAGCTTGTTATAATATTACAATGTTCTTTTTTAACTTTCAGTTGAACGCACTCAGCAATAGAGTTGTTGGGGGTGTTCGGATAAGAAGTAGTTGATAGTCTATGAAGGAGCCTAATACGAGGGTGGTGTCTTGAAAAGGCCCAAGAGGAAAGGAGGCCCACTTCATGAGGCCCAGAGGCATGGGAGGAGAGGTCGGTTGGATAAAAGTCGGGGCCCGACTGATCGTGGTTAAAGAGCTATGTTAATCGGGACGCCTGAAGAAATAGTGACGCAGTAGTGCTCCTTAGGCGCCCAGCACATACCTCGGGGAGGAATCTCAAACCAGGCGCCTAGGGCAAGCGAAGCATTAAATGTGGCGATGATGTGGAAGTCCGTACGGTAAGGAACAGTTATAAATAGAATGGTTGGTAAGCATTTACTCATTTAGCTTCTCTCACTAAACTTTTAGGGAAAACATTTCTCTCTCTAAAGAAGAAGCTAACTTGATCGTTGGAGGATTAACGGGCCACGAGGCCCACCTCTGTGTGTAGGTGATTCCCCGAAGGTAAGGCTTACGGAGCGGAAGGGAGAACGGGAGATTGAGGAGGCTTCAACAAGAATAACATGTCACTTTCTACCCAAAAAAGAAAAAATAATAATATTAACAAGTCGCGGGTGTTTGTTTGCCAAGAAAGTAAACATCGTCATGCAATTAGACTCATACGCCGACCTAATTATCAGTACTATATTTTTCTGTTTTAGTCATTCTATCCGTAGGTCTCAAATGTGAAATCGCTGAAATGGGGAAGGATGAGCTGGATGGTGATTCGAAGGTAGTGATTGATGAGTTTTGATGCAGATATACTATGTGATGATCATGATAGTGCAATTTTGATTGACAATCGATACTTGCGTGCATATAGTCTAGGTATCGATATTCAATTTGTTAGCAAAGAATAGCACGCACAGTCAATTCGACGGTCAAACGAGACGGGTTCTAAGAAAAATAAAAAAAACTCTTTCTTATCGAGATTCTTTTATCATCATCGAAATTGAAAATTTCATCGGAAAAAGATACTTCATCTTACTAGCTAGCTATATCTCTTTCGTTCGTGGTTATTGTAAGTCCAACGAACAATGAAACTATACTTCTAAGTTGTAATGCTTGTGAGGGTACTCCTCTAGACAAATTGGAAATCCAATGCTTGTCATGGACGACACAAGCCTTATTCTTCCCAAAGACCAAATGCGTGCAATGTAAACTTGTTGACTATTTGAGCACAACACCAAAGTGTGTGATTAACTGATTACGTTAATGCTAAGGCGCCGCCTAACCAAGACAAGCGTACCTTTTTTTCCTTTTTTTTTTCCAGGAAGGAAGCTTGGAATTTAGAGAGAAGAAAAATAAAGTTCCTTCATTTAAACTGTTGGGGTGTTACTAAATTCTTCGGGCACAGACTAAGTAATGGAGCGCACAATCAGCAATGGCAACACTCGGTATCCGCTACAGGTATATAAGGGCTTGAAGCCCTCCAAAGAAAGGGACTTCTCTCTCTCCCCTCACTTTCCACTTTCTATCTATCTCTCTACACTTCATCTCTCCATCTATTCTCTCAACTCTCTCCACAAACAGACACTGACTTGATCGTCGGAGCTGAATCCGGGGGGCAACCCCGGCTCTTTCACAGGTTCTCTCCCCCCCGACGAGATCGGACGAACAGATGACGAGTCAGCCCACACCAACAATCATTATTGTTCCTGCCACGAGCTAGTTGGCACAAACATAAACAATAGACAATATCAAAACCCTAGACCAAGATTCTGTCTTCATAATGTGTATTTTCTTGTTAGAATGAGGGGGAAATAATATGTAGTTCATACTCGTACGGCCTCGAAGATTGGCATTCACCACTACCAAGTTCTTTAACATGGTTTTGGTCAACATACTGATAGGTGCCACATAACATTCACAATGCTCATATCATCGTATTGGTATAAGCCCACGTACGATATTGACCACTGAATCGAGGTGAGCGGTAATAATTTTAAGAGGTCGGGTTGTGCCAATACTTACGAGCATTGTTGGTCACCATATTTGACCGATATGTACTACTTTCATCACTCTCTGGCTTTTTTATCATCCCTAATTACTTGACTCTTGAAGCAGAAGTCAGGAAAAGGGACAGCAGTTTGAATTAAATTGATTCCCAAAGGGAGGCGGCTGCCCATGGAAAGCCAACTTGGGAACCAGCTGGTTTACAATTTCATTTTGCTGCTATCAAAGCCTGTTCTGGGCTCAGAACAAATGGTATAGAAATAGGGAGATGCCATTAAAAGCATATTGGCTTTTTGACTCCATTCTCAAACCCTCGAGGTTTTGAAGGAGTAGGTGGTGAAAGGAAAAGGAGGAAAGAGTATTGGTGAAGCACAGAAATGATGTATTAATATATTCTGAACAGTTTGTTTGTTGCTGAGCAATGGCCAACAGTAACAAAGAGATATCCTAATCAAGTAATCAACGAATTAAAATGGCTATTATGTGGGCCACTAGGCCACTTTTGGTATTGAAGTTCTGAACTTTCTACTTGCTTTTTTTTTCTTCTCTTGGTTAGAACAACGATATGATTCACATTGGATCGATTTGATTCACACCAGATCGAATCAAACTGAATTCATATTCAGATAAAGTTGGAGTAAAGCAAAGTGTAACTCGATTCAATTTGCTTTTCATTCTCATATTCTTAACTATTCTTCGGGAGTTGCTTCCAGTAAATACATACGTAGCAATAAATGGACTGAATCGAAACAGAGCAATATCAAATTGGATCGAATGCACTTTCGAAACCAGCTGGTTCGATCTGGATATGAACCGAACCACACCGAGCCCACCGTAACTGTGGTTAGCTTATTATTAAGTTGCTGTAGTACCATGAAAAGAACACAAAACAGAAGCAGGTAACATTCAGTAGTAGCCAGAGGGCACCAACGGAAAGTGGCAGCCGAGCCGAGACCACAATCAAATGACTGCCATGAAAGAAACAAAAGATGATCAGGACTCAGGAGGGAACAAAGAAAGCTGGATGGGAAAGAAGGGGAAGTATCATTCCCTGTTTAGAGCCCTTTCCAAAAAGCAAGATGCCAAAGGGACAACTGTCCTTATCATAAACAGAGTCCTATACATATCTTTTGATTTCAATGCACTTGATATCAGCTACTCAATGCAAAAACCTAAAGTGCTAAAAGAGAGAGAGAGAGAGAGAGAGAGAGCACATAGCAAAAGTTGGTGAAAATTTTTATTAGCATTGGGGTAAAACAATAATGGGATTGGAAATCATGATTCTTTGTTTGGGATTTGTGAGGGGGGACATCAACAAAGTAATGAAATGATTCTTGTCATCCTATTCTTTTCACATAAAATTTGCAGAGAATGGCTGAAAACGGGTGCTAACATAACATTGCATCAATATACATAAACAACCATTCTACAGCAAACAATGAAATGATTCTGTGGTCCGCTGAAGATGACTCTTGACAGATCTCATAAAGAGATGCTAAAGATGGTAGCTCGAGATTAGTTCTCACATGTTATGATCGGTGGTTGAACCAGCCAGTCTATGAGGAGCAATATTCAATGATAGAAGGTGAACCATGTAATGGTTGAAGATTCACTGTAAGAATTCAGACCTGCCCTCTTAGCAGCTCCCCATAGCTCATAACTAAAGCTATAATAAAGGGTATTAGATTCTTAGTTTACAACCATTGAGAATATGGCCTTAAAGGTCACCTAGCAGTAGAAATAAGCATCTACTATACTAGTACAATTTATTGCTGGAACTAACAGCATTAGGAATCAATCTGGGACTAGCATGCAAAGCAAAACATTGAAAATACTGTCAGCTAGATCAGATGCAAGTTCAATTGTGTGCCTATAATCACATCATCACAATAGATATATAAGCACAAAAAAATGATTACATATAAATGAGAACTAACCTGTTACAACAGTTGCCGAGATAATATGCATTCATCACATATATATGAAACACCAAGCCGGCAGGAAGAATATTAATGTCTGTTGTTCTCTTGAAATTTCATGGCTGAGCCTTCTTAATGTTAAAAATTTCAAGGACCAGCAGTTCTTGAGGTTTCACCTTCAATACCTAGCGATCCTCTTGCTTCACACATCACAACAAGATAGTGATGGAGTTGAACCTTGGCTTCAAAAGTAAGTGCTCTGGAAGAGTACTGATCTATAGCTTTTACAGAGTGGACATATATGATATATCATACCTGTAAGCTGTTTGTGTTCACGTGCAATCATTGCAGCTACAGTCAACAAAAATGAAATCCTTGAAATTTGAGGAATCATATCTACTGTACTGCAGATACTGCATATCTGCTCCAAGTTCCAAATGAAAGAAGAAAAGGGGAAGTCTAAAGACTGACAGCACAATAAGTTGTCTCAAAGTCAGGTAGATCCACTAGAGAAAAGTACCACTCAACTAATCATATACCTAGGTTTTGCTGGTCAGATAATCATGTTGCCACCACATTCAATCTTCAAGAATTCAACCACTAGCATGTCTACTTTCTCATTACAGCATATATTCAACAAACCCAGACTTAAGCTTTCAATATCCTAAGTTCTTCAGATTGCATGCTGAATATTAATCATGATCAGTGGAAGATAATCCTTATGTGTGGGGATAAAATGACTCGTTGACATTTGACAAGCATTTTACTTCTGACATGGCACCCTACACAAGCTCACAGAATAGAGGCCAATGGCAAAGTACCCTTTGGAACAACATTGCACAGTTTTCAGGTTTTACCAGTACGAAGAACTATAAACAGTGGCACTTCGAAAAAAGCAATGATCAGATTCCAGCTTAACACATCCAAAAGCAATGATCAAGTTACAAACACGCAAACACGGGCACCATTGGAAAGAGATCAAGTTCCATTGCTAACACAAGCAAGCAATCGGGGTCCATTCAGAGTGCTATGTTCATACACCTACCCCAAAACTTTAACCTACACACCACATACAGTCATGTTTCTGCTCGTCTTGATACGCCAAATCGCCCTGCTGAAGAAAGTGTTGTTCTGAATCTCCTAGCTTGGTACATCTTTATCCCATTAATTACAGCTACAACATAGTACAACCTAACGATCCGAATTCCGAGAAATGACCCTTCTCTACGAGCATTGCTTCCGACAAATTGTGGAGCTCTTGGCCAGCCTGGCCTGGCATTCTCTGCCTATTATCACTTATCGTCCTTCAGATTCTCATTCTGCAGATACTTCAGGACTCCATATGCAACAGTCCCAGCAACAAACAAACCAACAGTTGGGGTAAAAGTTGGATACAGATACTTCACAAACAACCTATCCCATTCTTCTGGCAGGAACCCTGTAAACAGAAACTAGCTACATTCAATCTGAGACCAAATTGAAACATCTAAATACATTCACCAAGTAAATTCGAACTTGGGCGAAGAAAAAGAAATGGAAAGGTTTCTCTTTACCTGATGCCGAGAGCAGAATACCCTGAACAAGAATGACTCCGCCGAGCCCTAACCAGGTGAGAACAAAAGCACTCTCGTTCTTCCCCTGCTCTTTCGCTTTAGCTTCATCTACCCGAACACCGATGAACTCCGGCTTCTCGACGGGAGACCGCCTGATTATGGCCGCCCTCTCTCTTTTCCCCTTTGTCTTCTTCTTACTGCTCGCACCACTAGAAGCCGGAGGAGATGGCGAGCCGAAACCTATCCCAGGGGTGACGGCCGCGGCGGCGGAGGATTTCTTCGCCGGAGCAGGGTCGTTGGCTGGTTCTGCTTCAGTGGAGGGATTCTCCGATCTGATCGAGAAATTCAGCTTCGCCGGGGAGATGAGGAAGCGCGGTTGGGGAAGATGATGATAAGGTTGGTCGAAGAGAGAAGATGGGGAGTGGAATTGTAGCGCCATTTTTTGTTTAGTTGGTTAACTGTGAAGATTTCCATTTCCCCTCTCTCTCGCTCTTGCGTTTTGATCGGATGTAGCAATTATTCCCGTCGCATCCCTGATGTTTAACGGAATTGCTTTATCATACCTCTTTTTATCTGATTTTGCATATCCGTTCATTTGAGTTCTTTTCCAGTCGTGGTCCATTCTCGTCCTCAAAGCTCAGATTCTCCAAATTTCTCCGCCACAAATCAGCTTTTGCCATGGCGGAGCCCTAGCTACACTCAACCGTGGAGATTCCTACCTGGCGACTCTCTTTATTGCTTCTTTCTCTCTCTCCACCGCGTCACTCCATGGACTGTGGCTGCGGCACTCCGTCTCCATCCTTCTCATGGCTCTCCTCTCCTCCTCCCGCTTTCTCTTGCTCTCTCCCTGGGCAGCTACCACGCCGTCTCGCTCTCGACGGAGGAACTGGTACTCTTACTGTTCCATTACGGCCGCAACTCCTGCTGGAGCCAGAGCTAGCAATGGAGTGAGTGGCGGCTCGAAGGGGAGGCCGTCGGCGATAGTGTGGTTCAAGCAGGATCTCCGCGTCGACGATCATCCTGGCATTGTAGAAGCCGCCGGTTATCCGGCTGTGGTTCCTGTCTACGTGTTCGATCACCGGATTCTTTCTCGTGAGTTCGTCGTTGGTTTTGGTGATCTCAGCATTTCGGATTCCGCGGATTGATTGAGTTTGTTGGTGCCGTGTGGTGTTCTGTGGTGCTTGTGCAGGTTATTCCGATGAAATGCTCGAACTGGTTCTCTTCGCGCTGGAAGATTTGAGGCAGTCCCTAATTCGACTGGGATCCAATTTGATGACCAGGTTTGGGGATGCTGAGACTGTCATCCAAAGCTTGGCGAAAGAGGTATTGCAAGCATTGTCTAAACTACGATGCTTAGTTGTAGATGACAAATTTTGGAGAACAAAAGGAAAGAAGGGCCTCAATGCTCTATTTAGTCTTTCTCCGGATTCATGGCCGGGAATTGGTGGAACAGGTGAAATGTACTAATGTCATTGCTGAGGAGGAGGTGGAGTATCACTTGGTCAAGCTGGTGGAAATGGTGGAGAAAACATTGATAGGAATGCCAATTTTGGATAACAATCCGAATATTGTGCGGTGGCGAACTCCATTTTATGATTTGAAGGTAGTCACTGTCATTGCGCAAGTTCTATTGCTTTCGGTCTCCTGTTTCATTTCGGGACTTGGGTGCATTAGCAATGTCATACATCTGTATGTTTTGTAGAGCTTGAGGGATTTGCCTGCTTCATATGATGACTTCAAGAAACTAAAGGTGCCCATTACTTCACCTGCTGGCATGCCTCCAACTTTACCTGGTTCAGAACTGGAACTTGACTGGGGTAAGTGTTTTGTAGACTGAAACAGCGCCTTCATTTGTTTACTTTAGTTCTAGAGAATTATATTGATCATTGGACCATGGCTTAGGTGCTTTGCCGACAATGGATCAGTTGAAGAAATTTGTGGATCAGAATCCTTCCAGATTGAAAGATACTTGGACGTCAATCAAGGAGATGTCAACTGAGACCGTATTGCAGGAGAGAAACAGGAAACCACAGCCTGTGGAAACGAAGTGGAAAAGTTCTAACCTCAGTCTTTCATCGAGAAAGAGACTTGGCAGTTCTGTTTTCATTACAAAAGAACAGAATTTTGTCGGAGGTGGGACCAGTAAAGTACTCAATGGGTTGGCTGCATACTTGAGATACTTGGAGGGAACAGCACGTGATGATTTTCAAGAGTATGGTTCTACAAGCCTTACACTTGGGGAGTCCTAATATGGTCTTGTTGTATAATGCATTTCTTATCTCTGTCGCTAATTCATTATTCGCACCAGATTTGTTTAGTCTTCTTATGTAGTATACTCAGAACTTCCTGATTGAGACTGGACTTTGTAAACCTCTTTACTTCTTGCGTTGGACGTATCATGGCAGGGTACACCAGAGGTTGCGAAATGCCGAGACCAGGGATGGTGCTTCGTTTTTCGCACTCTTCGGCCCGGCTCTTTATCTTGGCATCATATCTAGAAGGAAAGTGCATTGTGAAGCAATAAGATATGACAAAGAAAGAAATGGTGGTTTTCTTTCACCTTTTGGATACTCAACCGTCACAATTGCTGCAGCTGTTAATGCTGTGTGCTCTATGGAGGTGTGTGGTTTGTAGACTTCTTTGTTTGAAGGTATCTGTCTTCCGCTCTTCAGCTTGCTTACCTGACGTAACTTTCTAAAGAATTTGAGTTGGATTGATGGCAGTGGTATTGGCTTGTGGCTCTAAAGTGTCAATTTAGTAAAGAAGGATCATGTTCTACTCGGATATGGAGATGGAAAGGCTATTTAGTTCAGGTACGCAACTGAAACTGCTGCATCAATTTTATCATTCCTAGCCAAGTCCTGAGTCATTTGTCTTGTTTCAGTATACCGCTGTTGGCGGCCAAGGTCCTGCTGTCCTCCTCGTTCATGGTTTTGGAGCTTTTTGGGAGCATTATCGGGATAATGTTGATCAAATAGCTGGAGGAGGCAATCGTGTGTGGGCTATCACACTTGTAGGGTTTGGAAAATCTGAAAAGCCGAATATTGTGTATAGTGAACTTCTATGGGCTGAATTGTTGAGGGACTTCATCGTCGAAGTTGTGGGGGAACCAGTGCACCTTGCGGGCAACTCCCTCGGTGGTATGTTCTCACCATCCTATGCCTCTTATTTCACCACCTGGATCTCGTAACATTCCTTCATTATTCATCGAAATAGAAATTCGCTCATTCTTCCAGGCTATGTCATGTCTATTGCTGCATGTTGTTGGCCTGACTTGGCAAGGTCTCTCATCCTAATCAACAGCGCTGGCAATATCATTCCAGGCTATCGATATCTTCCACTTACCAAAGTAAGTCACAGTATTGCCCAAACCTCTTACCATATGGGTAACCCATAAACATCTCTGAATCCTGTGTATCTTTTCAATCCTACAGGAAAGGCGGATTCCTGGGCCAGCATGGCTGGGAGCTCGCCTCCTATTGTTCTTCTTGAGGTCGAACATCAGAAGCACAGTGAGAAATTGCTACCCTACTGTAAGTCTCCACTCCATTCCCACGATCAAAACGCTCCGGTCTGGATGTTTCCCATAAATTACACACCCATATGATCCTGTATGCAGAGAACCGAGAGAGCCGATGATTGGCTTATCAGCGAAATGATAAGAGCTGTATCCTCAGAATTATTCATTTACTCAACCAACGTGCCTGCTATACTAATTTTTACGTTGAAAATCACAATAATTTCTTAACATCTGCAAAGTCGTATGATCCTGGAGCGGAGGAGGTCCTGGAGAGTATATTCAGCTTCAATCTTTCTCTCCCTCTCAATTATCTATTGGAAGGATTTAAGGAACGAGTTCTTGTCATTCAGGTATCATCTTAATTCAAACCAAACTATAAGCATTTTCTTTTTCCGATTGTCGAAGTATATTACAAGCCTGAACTCCTTGTGACTAACAGGGAATGAAGGATCCAATCTCCGACTCCAAATCCAAAGTGGCTATGGTGAAAGAGCATTGCCCCGGGTTCGTGATCAAGGAGTTGGACGCAGGGCACTGCCCACACGACGAGAGGCCTCAGGAAGTGAACTCCATAATCTGTGAATGGACTGCAAAGATAGAGAGTAGAAACCTTGCTTCGAGCTTTTCATAGGCTGCCAGGGTGTACATAATTCAATTGCCTTTGGCTCGCATTTCATTTTGGACCACAATAGAACTGTTTTACTCCATTCTCTTAGCTATAAAAGAATAAAAGTTACATGATCAGCTGTATACTGCTAGTCCATCAAAACTTAGGAACGTTTGCCATCAGATGCATACATAAAGTGCAGAAAAACAAGCCTGTTATACTGGCAGTCAGCAAGATCATTGGCAGAAAAGCTATAACGACGTAATTACACCTGTCGTCGGAATTCATGAGCCACTATGTCTGTTACATGCACATCTTGAAAAATCAATCGTTCCTTTGCTGTTCTCTGCTGCTACTGTGATTCTTGTCAGCTGATGACGACTCCAGTGGAGAGAAAAACCAGTTAAGAACAACTTTCTCAAATCTCTTCCCTGCCACCACAACAATTTGCCGCGAGCTCATACATAAATAACTCTGGGGCCACGACCATGGAAGAGTAGACAGCCACTTGGTCCAATGCAAAGAAGGAAGAGACGTTCCCTCATTAGATTGCCTCATCCGTTTTCACGTTCTCTGCTACTGTATTTCTTTTTTTCACCTCTCCACCAGCTTAAGTTCTTCGAGGAAACTTGACGTGTCAGGAACTATGCCTCCGCCATGATGCTTCAGAACTCCATCTCCAACGAGATCATGTAGTATCTCAGCCGCATCCTTCGCTCCACCATGCTGCAATAGTTTGGTTCTGATCGTGGTCCCGGTGGCTAGTGACAGAGGGTCCTCTTGGCACACCTTTTTCCATATGGTTGCTGCGAAGCATCTTGCATACAGGTAGCTGTAATAACCTGCACAAGTATTCGCCCGATTTCACGCGAGAGTAATTCTGAAGAGCTACATCTCAACTAACGATTCGTTGTATGGGGAAAACAAACCTGCACCGTAGTTTAGGAGATGACTGAATCTGGCCTCCCAATGTGTGCCCTCAACGTGCTTCCAACTAGTAAACTGTCTCTTAAGATCTGCAACAACAGAGCTTGTGTCGCTGAGTGGGGCTGTTTGTTCTCCGAATAGAGTTTGATCAACCAGTGAATAGAAAACCTGAATTAACAACCAAAAAGGGATACATAAAATGATCAACCTTGGTGTTGTTATTGTATGTTCATGCATTAGAATTGGAGAAGAAAAAAAAAACGAAGGCACCAGTTCCTGATCTGATGGAAAATGGAAACAACACCTGGCGTTGAAGTTCAGTAGCAGCAAACATGTCCCTGGCACCTAGCAATGACTCCACCAATTGCTCCGGTATAACTTCACCAGTGGCGTAGTGCTTTGCAAATGTCTTCAAGACTCTGTAGTCCCAGGCGAAATACCTAGGGATGTGACCGGGTCCAAATGTTAGATTTAATTTCCATTAATCCGATTATTATACATACATACATAACAAAAGCTTCTGCTGGTAAAATAATTTTCAGGAGCACACCAATTTGCATCCCTTGTAACTAGCAGAAAAGATGAGGAGAGTAAATGCTAGCACGAGTAAGAATCTCCATGTTTTAAATAGAGAATTAAAGAACAAGCATTTGTGTTCGAACTTCAGCTCTCAGAACTTGAGCAAAGAAACAGCGACTGATCCAAATTTACCCACACATTTGACAATGTAGTTTATGGGTGTCACCAAATGATTTTAAATTATTTACATTTAGGGCAGAAATAGATCACTCACTCGAAAAGGTTGGATGGCGTCTCAGCAAAGTCAAGGACCACCCTTGTGCCAGCAAAATGTTGGTAATCCTGCAACATAGAGGGAAAATATTATTGCCAAGGAAATCCTACTTGAGGCACAGAACGAAGAATGGGTATACTGTATTTAATAGCATCTCCCTTACTGTTCTTGACAGCAGTGAATGGAGGGAATGGCCAAACTCGTGAAAAAGAGTTTCTAACTCCGAGTGATTAAGCCTCACAATGGACGAATCACGTGAACCTAAAAAATTGCAGACAAGGGCCACAACCTGCAACATAACCACATGGAGAAGAAATCAACATCAACTGAAATGAAGAGGAAAGGGAAGTTAACCAATCAATCAAATACTACTGAATTCCAATATTTGAAGTAGAGGTATTCTAGAGAATGGAGGTCAAGTGAAAGGGTGATGGAGTTTATCTCTCCTTGGAGATAAAGGCGCAAAACACTTTTCGGGCAACACAATGATGTTCATTTACTTAACTTCACCCCCTCAGATTTTTTTAATAAAAGATTGGGATATGAATGCTTGACTAAATTAGCACATTCGGGATTTTCCAATTTGGATAACCCGAATAGTTACTGAACCAAAATGATAGAATCATCATTGTAGATATGTACTGCATACGGGCAACTGGTATTCTGATTCAGAAATGCGTCGCCCTCCTCTTATCGAAAAGTTGGCACATCCTGGATATTTTCCCTTCCTCGAGTATAAATCAAGGTATAGATACCCCAAGTCACCCTGAAGCAAAAGCATACGGCCTCAAGTCAGTTGAAAAGGACCAAAAAGCATTATCTCAGACATGTGAGATGCGTCACACCAAAACCATGACACTATTAGTGAATCCACTGATCAACAGAAATCTGGCTTAAAAAGGGCTACAAATGTGGTTTAACCAACAATTTACACTTCATGCTTCATATCATTCAGGGCCTTACCTCATCAGGGTGATGAAGAACCATTTTAAGGACATCTGGATGCCACGATTCACCTTGTGCCATTGCGACTTCATGAAATGTTGCACCGAATAATGACTTAACCAGCGTTTTTAGACCTTCAATACAGTTTGGCAGTGAGAAATATGAAGATACCATCTGCAGGTGAAAGAATATCTGAGGTTAGTTCCTGAATTTTGAAGCATAAAGTAAAAATCACACGCCAGAAAAGAAAATTTTGTTCCGTGGATTAAATAGGTAATATTGGAGAGTCTCGCTGCATTTCCACCAAAGAAAATAGAAAGAACAAGAATCTAGCCGTCAATAACTGCATAAGATCACAAACAACACGAAACTTACTGAAGAATCCAAATCATGCATCGAAGACTTCATGATACCAGTGTAATATGCCTCATCCCATGGGTACAAGTCAACAGTATTTTCACTACTTTTTTCTAGCTTGAAGTTCTTAATTTTGTCAAACTCCTGCAAAAATTTGACACCGATCAGTATGGGAAAATCCTGAGCTGAACTAGAAAGTAACATCTTATAGCAGCCTCATACAACATACTGATAAAGGAAAGAGAGATAATAGACACATACCTGATCAGCCTTTGGTCTAACCATCATACTCATATCACGAAGAAAAGATGTGACAACTTCAGGTGAAGAAGCCAAGTTTTGTTTGACAATAAATTCAGCATAAGATGTACAATCCATTATCTGCAGTTCCAATCAAAAGACATCAGTCATCTAAGGCATAGTCATGATTATGAGATTATCTGGACATCAATGATCATGCTATGGCAGAAGACGGAAAACCTTGATCAGCATAGTTTATTCCAATTTAAAAGTTTGATGAGTTGACAGATCACATGTGCATAGACTCCGTACTGATTGCTAAAAGGCGAGCACTATTCTGGAAAGCTTCACAAACTAATAGAATCTTTATGGTTTTGGGAATTCCTAAGTATGATTGGCAATGTTTAACATTGATGCACTACTTAATTCTTTTCCAAAATGGAAATCTTTAAACATCCCTAAGAAACTAGGCAGTTTGTCACTAGGCTTGAAAGAGCAGGTATATGCCAAGCAGCGGAAGAGGCAAAAAGAAAAAAAAAAAAGGGAACAACAAGGAAATGATAGATCATTCTAATGGCTTAGGTAAGACCGCCTTTGTCTACACATAATGAAGACATGTAGACATGTGTTCGGAATACTACAATCTGCATAAACCATGTCTCTCGCTGCTTAATACACAATGGCTAAGAACCACAGATGATGATGAATAGAACCTGAGCAAGTTCGTGGCGTGCAGTAATAAGCTTTTCAAGAACTCCGAGGTTTGCATGGGGGACAGAGTTCCCCTTGATATAAGCCATCTTCCTCACCTGAACGAGATGAAGGGAGAAACTAGTGTCAAGTCTTGATGACAGCAGGATAAGATGGTGCATTCAATAATTGCGGCAAATACACAAAGACATGTGACTAAAGCAGGATATCAGTTGCTTCTATGAATCTTACTAGCAAAACCAGCCTCGTCTATATTAAAATGTAGATCTACGGTTCCGAAAAATAATATTTTCTACAAAAAAACTTTTGTTAGCAAATCCCAACCAAGGAAGGGAAACAGTAGAGTACATTCCAGATGAATCGAGATCAAATTTACCTCCTCATCAGCAGTCCATTGAAGAACAGAAGCTAGAGTGCGTTGTTCAGTCGTGATTCGGAATCCTTTTTCTTTCACATTTCTCCAAGGCCCAGGTAATCCACTTGAACTACCAGATTTGAGATGGTGAATGGGAGTAAGGAGATGGTGTATCTGTCTCGGGATGCGAGATGCAGGGAAAATGTCGACATGTCCGGGGTCACTACTTATGTTTTCACCAAATCTGTGCACACAAAATCAAGAATAAGACACAACATTCTGAGACTGATATGCAATGACATATGCTGAACCAAGGTACAGAAATAACCAAAATTGAATTTCACGCTACGCACTCCCGTGATAGTTTGAAGATGTCTATATTCAGCTGGTTTAGCCTGTCCAACTTATCTGCCAAATCATAGAAAGCAAACTGGAAAATGATGACTGCAGTCTTACCAAACTGCCAAAAAAAAAATGGAAAGAGAATCCATACCAGGCGGGAGATGGATTCCACCCTTTTCAAAATCAATCCTTAGGTGGTGGGCAGCTCTGTGAGCCTCCTTGGAAAGCAAATGTCCATCTTGCTCAGCCTTTTTCACCGCAGCATAGAGGGTATGATTCGTATTAAGGTACTATATTTTGCAAAGCACATAAGATCAATTAGCGGTAAGTCGAAATATCAAAACAAATAACGAGAGGGTAGCTGAATTTATCATACAGGTAAGGTGCCAGAAAAATGACAGACCAATAAATAGATTACTGGTCAGTGGTCACCTCACATGTAGATATTCATTAAGCCTCATTGCTGCATTGCTAGCCTCCTCAACAAACTCTCTGCCAAACATTAGTGCAACTGGTAAAGCAGGAGATATTGACTTCATGGATACAAAAATGAACACTCATGAACAAATTTTAGCAGGAAAGAAACCTGTCTGGATGGGTATTTCGACAAAGTTCCGCAGAGTCCACAACCCGACACACCTACAAATCAAACACCAAAATTCTTCAATTCCCAACTTTGTTCAAAGGTGGGAAATAGAGGAGAAAATTATAATTCCTGCTACTACGGAAACTTAGAGCGCAAGTACTTACAGCATCAGAGATTTCATCCATGGCGCTGATAATTTCAGCTGACGAAGGCATTGTGGAGATATGATCAACTAACTCCGCACACCTGTCAAGATTCCAACGAGAAATTTGAAGCTACTAGCAGCCATTGATTTCGTGTCACCGAGAGACATTTCTCAGCATCCAAACACCCGAAGGAAAAAAGCAAGTATGCATTTTAAAATTACAATTCAACTCTAGCTTCCTTCCTCACTCACTAAGCTTCAAAGTTATATAAAAAGCCTCACGCAAACAGTAGCTCTAGAAGAGCAAGTAAGGCTGTTGTTCAGCCGCAGAGATGAGAGCATCGATACCTTTCAATGGCGTCGTCGACGAAACGCCGAAAGCCTGCCGCAGTTTTCAAGTGGTGAAACCCGTAGAGACCAGCAGTGGCTGCCTCATGACGCGGAACGACTCGGCTGCCGAAATGGCGAGTCGGACGATGAAGATACGAGCGGATTGATTTTGTGGCAAATTGGAGACAGAGCGTCGCCCTTGTTCTGCGTACCAGCGAGGACATTCCGGCGACGGCTGTGGCGGCGCTGCTTCAGCTTGCTGTTTCTGCCGTCCCCGGCTCTGTTGAAGCGGCTTGCAGTTGCCGCTATGTTTTCACTTGGAATGCTAACGTCGGCGATGCGGATTGCGGCCGCTTCTTAGAAACGTTTCCACAATTTCCGATTGGAAGGCTCCAATCGGGCTTTTTGGCCCAATCAGATTTATTTAGATGGGCCCATGTACTAATTTATCAGCTGTTGGGGGCCTCGAAATTCAGAAAGTATTCTTTTTACGAATAAGAGTTTTATTTCATTAATACGATCAAAATACAAAGAAAGTTTAGCACAATTAACCAATTGTCATCCTACCAAACAGGGTTAATTGCATGGTTGGTCACTGAGATTACAAAAAAAAGTTCATGTTTGGTCACTAAAAATAGTTAATTCTATTGGTGGTCACTAATTTTAATGAAATCATTCACATTTGGTCACTCTCCGTTAGTCGTCGTCCATCTCCGTTAACAGAGTCCGTTAAGTGCTGACGTGGCTGACGGAATCGTCAAATCAGCCCTATTTAATCCAAAAAAAATGAGACCTGACCCGCCATATCACTAAGTCACGCCATGTCATCTAAACCAACTCAACCCTCTAACCAGACCTGACCTATGAACCGACCCACCCAAATTAAATCCCTAAATCTAGAACAGATCTACCTATCCCCTTCCTCCCGACTTTCTTCCTCTTCCCCTGATAAACAGGTGCAACCGGATCGACATCGGGGCTTCGGATTTTTCGTCCCCGCACAGATCTATCTATCTCTACTGAAGGAAAAAATTTCCATCACTTTGTCGGGAAAATTATCAGAGGAAGAAAGCGGTGAATCGAGAGAAAGAAAAACAATGTCGCATAGCGACACCATCCCTCTCCACTCTTCCTCGCAGTCGGACATCGACGAGATCGAGAACCTAATCAACGCCATCGTCCAGTCGGGCCCGATAACAGTTCAACCCACCTGCCCAACGAGTCCGCCGCGGATCCCCGTCTCGTCCTCTCTGTTCCTCCCGGACAACCTCCCACCACCCACGACGACGGCATCGAAGATGCCCCCTCTCCCATCGTCATCTGCGCCGCCTTCTGTGCTTTCGCCACTGTCCCCGGGCCCACGTCGTGCCCGCGAGCTCAGCCGAATCGAACAATTTTGCGGCTTATGGATTTGGCGTCTGTCGAGAATCGTGAGTAATTTGAAGCTATATATCAGTAACTTCTCAACGCCTCTTACTCCCTCTCTCTTGCTCTGTGCCTGCCTCCAACCCCGTTCCCGAAATGCTCAAACGCTCCCTGAAATCCACTGTCGCAACCTTGCTTTTCCCTTTCTCCGCTGCCACTTATTTATTCCTTCTATCAATCCTTTCTCTCTCCTGCACCTCAATCCCACTCCCGGAAATTGAAAAAAGACTAGTACTCCAAGAACAAGAAATCCGCACAACAATCTCCATAGTCGCCGACGCCTCGCCACTTGCCCTTCCCTTTTCCTCCACCGCTTCTTTCTTCCTTCCTCCAATTCTACTCAACAACCCTCATCTTTGTTGGCAGTAAGCTCAATTGCTTCTTTCTTCCTTTGGCGGTTGCAGGGGTTTATCAGGGGAAGAGGAAGAAAGTCGGGAGGAAGGAGGGGAAAAGGGATAAGTGGATCTGTTCTAGATTTAGGAATTTAATTTGTGTGGGTCGGTTCACAGGTTGAGTTTGGTTAGAAGTTTGGGTTGGTCCGGATGATGTGGCGGGTCTTAGTGACGTGGCGGGTCGGGTCTCATTTTTGGAATTAAATAGGGCTGATTAGACGTTTCCTTCCGCCACATCAGCACTTAACGGACTCTGTTAACGGAGATGGACGTCGATTAACGGAGAGTGACCAAATGTGAACGTTTTCACTAAAATTAGTGACCATCAATAGAATTAAGGGCTAATACCATTAGAAATACCAACCTTTAGCGAAAATGCCATTTATATTACGTAACTTCCATAAATACATTTACGTTACAACCTATTGGGTGTTTGTGCCATTTGTGTTCCGTGAATTTCTGTTGACCGTTAGATCTAACGGTTGACCTGGCTAGCTGCTGCCTATTGAAATTCTTAGACAATGGACAACCCCTGTCCCCAGCATTGGAACCTTCCACAGAGGACACTATGTTGGCAATAGCTGCTTCTAGACCTATTTCATTGTGAACCACTTTCCCTTTATCACTTTGATGCTTCTCAAAAGCCTTTCCCACTAAATATTCTTCCATACTTTGCGTCTGCAAATTTGTATCAATAGGTTGATTCACTTCATGGTTCAAGGCATCTCCTCTAATAATTGTTCGTATCACTTCCACCTCAATTGTGTCCTTCCCTGTTTTACACGAATGACCAAATTGTTTGCATTTGTTTCATATTACTGGCTTGTTATAGTATTCTATTTGAATCCTAAGTGAATGTCTTCTGCCAAGAACTATCTTGATGTAATCAGGAAAGGCAGAGGCACTACTCATCTCCACACAAAGCATGGGATAACCCAGTCTTGTCCCAAGTCTTGTCGATTGGTCAAACCAATGAGACGTATTCAATTTGCTGGCAATCTTAGCCAGACTTTTTCCTGTGACATACTCAAGTGGCAAATCCAGAAATCTAACCCAAATTGGAAAGGGGTGTGTGGTGTTGGTTTAAAGCAGAGATTAGATGAGATAAGAAGATGAGGTAGGTAAGATGAAGTTTTTCTATTGATCGGGTAAGATTTTTCTCTGCAAAGTGACATAAAGGGGTGTGTGGTGTTCGCTTAAAGCAGAGATGAGATGAGATGAGATAAGAAGACCATGTAGGTAAGATGAAGCTTTTCTATTGGTTGGGTAAGATTTTTCTATGCAAAGTGACAGAAAAGGGGTGGGTGGTGTTGGTTTAAAGCTGAGCTGCAATGAGATAAGAAGATGAAACAGGGAAGCTGGATCTTTTCAACTGGTCGGGTAAGATTTTTCTCTACAAAGTGACAGAAGGGGTGTGTGGTGTTGGTTTAAAGCTGAGATGAGATAAGAAGATGAGGTTGGGAAGATTGAGTTTTTCTATTTGTCGGGTAAGATTTTTCTCTGCAAAGTGACAGCAAGAGGGTGTATGGTGTTCGTTTAAAGCTGAGATGAGATAAGAAAATGAGGTAGGTAAGATGGAGTTTTTTCTATTGGTTGAGCTACATTTCTAAGATAAGCCTATGATTTAATAAATAGGCAAGTCATCTAGATAATTTTGCGTTCCTCCCCCAAAACTACCTTCTTGCATTGTCTCTTATGGGTCCATCTTGTGTCCCCCCCCCCCCCAATCCCTTCAACCCATACTTCAATTTCTCACCCGATTCGTCCAATTATGCGCCTACTAATGATACACAAAATTCACTAAATTCTGACAATCCATTCCCAAATCCTCACATGAACCATCCATTCTTTTCAAATGTGGGTAATTTCTCAATGTCCATGTATCCAAACCCTAACTTCGCATATTTCTAACAAAACTATCCAGCAACTCAACCCTTATCAAGCCAATATATCCGACCACTCCAACTATTTTTACTGAACAAGATTCTCCATTCCCTGGGTATTGTAGTCAAGAAAGGTCCACACAAGTTGAACCAAGTAGCGGTGGAGGAAAATTTCGTTGGAAAGAAAGTGATGACCTTCTGTTGTGTAGCTCATGGCTCAACATCAACAAAGATGCAACAGTTGGTACAAATGAAGATTTGAGTTGTTTTTGGAAACGAGTTCAAGATTATTACGAGGAATGGCAAGCAGGCAATGATGACTCATTGGACCAGAATCAACCAAGACGAATCAAAGTTTGTTGGATTTTATGAACAAGTCAACATCGAAGACAGAGTGGCATAAACGAGGAAGATAAAAAGAACAAACATCGGAGTTATTCGAGACTCTCATAGGTAAAAAATTTCTTTCATGCACGCTCAGAATGCTTTAAAGGATGAGGAGAAGTGGTCTAGTCAATCCAATTCCAAAGCAACTCATGTTGATGAAGATAAAGGATCAAAGAGGAATAAAAAATACTACTTTAGGCCAATATACTTCATCATCCTCAAACACAAGCATGCCTCCCACCTTAGTTGCGATGTCAGTCTCATTCTCGTCCTCTAAGAAGAAAAGCTTCAAAGGATATAAGTAAAAAAATCATCTATGTCATCTGATTTGGTGATAAGTATGCAAACATTAGTGCAACAAAAAATTAGTATTGAAGTAGGAAAGGTAGAGGCGATGAAAGAGTTCACGGCTGCAAAGTTAAAACTGGAGGATGAACGAGAGAGGAAGAAATAAGCATACAAGAGAGATAAGCTAATGGTGAAATTAATAGAAATGGATCTATCAACGATGAAAGACATACAAAAATTGTATGAAAAGAAAATCCAAAGGTTACTGGTCAATCAACGATTTTATTCCATGCTTTGAATAATTTATCTAGTTGTGTGTTGTCGTACGTGTATTTGTTATGTTACAGTTTAAGACTTCAATGTATCTACCGGTTTATTTGTGTTTAATGACTTTTTTATTAAGTATTGTTGATTTGCTATGTAATTTGTATTTGGATGTAGTTGTGATATCTTTATATTTATATAAGCGTACATACACTTTGTTTTTGTATTACACTTTCAGAATCTACAAAATTAATTAATTAAAACTTAATGAATTTTTCTAATATAATAAGTTTGTTATCTTAAACAAATGATAAATTGAAAAAAGGAAAACAACATCATACATACGCATGCCCTTACATTTTACTAGCATTGGCACCGGCCCGTTGGCCGAAGTTGTATAAATTTTGATTAACAAATGAGGGATTAGGGTCGTTCGGTTTTGGTGATTGTTTGGGGAGATAGTTACAATACTTGCATTGTCCATAATGTATCGTTTTTTCAATTTTCTGCATAAACAATACTTGCATTGTTTGCTTGATGAGACACAATCTACTGAATCAAAGGAATAATAGATTCTTTGTTCCTCTGTTTTGATTGAAATAACACATCAGTCATTACTAAAAAAAACACAGACTTTCTCTAATATGACAAAATCATCTTCTCTGTTGTCATATTGCAACATGGAATTGAAATTCAACAAAATTAAAAATTTGCATGTCACGTTATATTCAGAAGTAATATAATAATTTAACATCAATCTCAAACAACAAAGCGGCAGATTGCAAGATATACAAAGCAAAAATCAGATACCAAAATAAAATGTAAAAAAATTCGTTCGTTATGCAATAGAATTATTAAATACTAACTTAAAAATAACGTGAGGAAAAAATGGAGAAAGTTTTTACTTTTTATAGTTCACTCGCATAATACTTTTTTTTATCAATACTGTTTCAAAAAGAGAAATTTTTTCATTATTTAATATATTTATCTTTTTATTTTCTTTCTATTAAGTATTAACCATTATTTTATTCTCAATCTCTTATCTCTCGTCAACCACGTCTACCACCAGCATTCACTTCCTTCTTCAACGCAAATTTCTCTCCCCTCTCCCTCTTTCTCTCTCTCATACAACGCGGAGGAAGCTATGGCTGGACTGTATAATCCTTTTCCTATTTTCTTTTAAAAACTTCGACTTCTCGCCTCCATGCAATCGGCGGATGAGTCTTTTTCACTCCGATCACATAATAGATTAATTAATCAATATACTAAGTTTCGATCGGAACGTTCTTTGAGACTTGACGGAAGATCTGATTCATGGTGCGGGTGCGACATTGGAAGTAGACTAAAGGTATGGAGAACGAAGTGGCGGCAGGAGTGAAAGAAGGGAAAAAGAAGCAATGACTGGAAAGGGAAGGCCAAGGTGTAGCGCCGGGGAATTCTTCTAGGCGGGTTCGGGAGACAGAAGGCGGGATAAGGAGGGGGAAGTTTTGTGGGATGGTTTAGCGAGAAAGATAAGATATGAGAATTACTAAAACACCCTTCCGCATTGTGCGGACTGTTCAGGAGAAGCTGAGGTGGCAAAAGAGTTTTATTAACATTGCCTTATAGTATTTTTTAGATCATTTGTTAAAAATGCAACTTTCAAAACAAAATGGAAATGAATAAATAGCATCAAACGTGGGATGGAGAGAAATGGTATGACCACGTCAGAATGGGATGGATATTTATTTTTAAAGCCGAAGTTACTAAAATAGAGGGAAATTCAAATTCTTAACCCTGAAATCGTGCAACCCGCAAACTTGAGCCCCATTTTCCCGGTAAAATCTGAAGCTTCTTTCTCCTTGTCCATAATGTATCATTTTTTCAATTTTCTGCATAAACAATACTTGCATTGTTTGCTTGATGAGACACAATCTACTGAATCAAAGGAATAATAGATTCTTTGTTCCTCTGTTTTGATTGAAATAACACATCAGTCATTACTAAAAACACACAGACTTTCTCTAATATGACAAAATCATCTTCTCTGTTGTCATATTGCAACATGGAATTGAAATTCAACAAAATTAAAAATTTGCATGTCACGTTATATTCAGAAGTAATATAATAATTTAACATCAATCTCAAACAACAAGCGGCAGATTGCAAGATATACAAAGCAAAAATCAGATACCAAAATAAAATGTAAAAAAATTCGTTCGTTATGCAATAGAATTATTAAATACTAACTTAAAAATAAAGTGAGGAAAAAATGGAGAAAGTTTTTACTTTTTATAGTTCACTCGCATAATACTTTTTTTATCAATACTGTTTCAAAAAGAGAACTTTTTTCATTATGTAATACAATTTAATACATTTATCTTTTTATTTTCTTTCTATTAAGTATTAACCATTATTTTATTCTCAATCTCTTATCTCTCGTCAACCACGTCTACCACCAGCATTCACTTCCTTCTCCAACGCAAATTTCTCTCCCCTCTCCCTCTTTCTCTCTCTCATACAACGCGGAGGAAGCTATGGCTGGACTGTATAATCCTTTTCCTATTTTCTTTTAAAAACTTCGACTTCTCGCCTCCATGCAATCGGCGAATGAGTCTTTTTCACTCCGATCACATAATAGATCAATTAATCAATATACTAAGTTTCGATCGGAACGTTCTTTGAGACTTGACGGAAGATCTGATTCATGGTGCGGGTGCGACATTGGAAGTAGACTAAAGGTATGGAGAACGAAGTGGCGGCAGGAGTGAAAGAAGGGAAAAAGAAGCAATGACTGGAAAGGGAAGGCCAAGGTGTAGCGCCGGGGAATTCTTCTAGGCGGGTTCGGGAGACAGAAGGCGGGATAAGGAGGGGGAAGTTTTGTGGGATGGTTTAGCGAGAAAGATAAGATATGAGAATTACTAAAACACCCTTCCGCATTGTGCGGACTGTTCAGGAGAAGCTGAGGTGGCAAAAGAGTTTTATTAACATTGCCTTATAGTATTTTTTAGATCATTTGTTAAAAATGCAACTTTCAAAACAAAATGGAAATGAATAAATAGCATCAAACGTGGGATGGAGAGAAATGGTATGACCACGTCAGAATGGGATGGATATTTATTTTTAAAGCCGAAGTTACTAAATAGAGGGAAATTCAAATTCTTAACCCTGAAATCGTGCAACCCGCAAACTTGAGCCCCATTTTCCCGGTAAAATCTGAAGCTTCTTTCTCCTTGTCCATAATGTATCATTTTTCAATTTTCTGCATAAACAATACTTGCATTGTTTGCTTGATGAGACACAATCTACTGAATCAAAGGAATAATAGATTCTTTGTTCCTCTGTTTTGATTGAAATAACACATCAGTCATTACTAAAAAAACACAGACTTTCTCTAATATGACAAAATCATCTTCTCTGTTGTCATATTGCAACATGGAATTGAAATTCAACAAAATTAAAAATTTGCATGTCACGTTATATTCAGAAGTAATATAATAATTTAACATCAATCTCAAACAACAAAGCGGCAGATTGCAAGATATACAAAGCAAAAATCAGATACCAAAATAAAATGTAAAAAAATTCGTTCGTTATGCAATAGAATTATTAAATACTAACTTAAAAATAAAGTGAGGAAAAAATGGAGAAAGTTTTTACTTTTTATAGTTCACTCGCATAATACTTTTTTTATCAATACTGTTTCAAAAAGAGAACTTTTTTCATTATGTAATACAATTTAATACATTTATCTTTTTATTTTCTTTCTATTAAGTATTAACCATTATTTTATTCTCAATCTCTTATCTCTCGTCAACCACGTCTACCACCAGCATTCACTTCCTTCTCCAACGCAAATTTCTCTCCCCTCTCCCTCTTTCTCTCTCTCATACAACGCGGAGGAAGCTATGGCTGGACTGTATAATCCTTTTCCTATTTTCTTTTAAAAACTTCGACTTCTCGCCTCCATGCAATCGGCGGATGAGTCTTTTTCACTCCGATCACATAATAGATCAATTAATCAATATACTAAGTTTCGATCGGAACGTTCTTTGAGACTTGACGGAAGATCTGATTCATGGTGCGGGTGCGACATTGGAAGTAGACTAAAGGTATGGAGAACGAAGTGGCGGCAGGAGTGAAAGAAGGGAAAAAGAAGCAATGACTGGAAAGGGAAGGCCAAGGTGTAGCGCCGGGGAATTCTTCTAGGCGGGTTCGGGAGACAGAAGGCGAGATAAGGAGGGGACACCCTTCCGCATTGTGCGGACTGTTCAGGAGAAGCTGAGGTGGCAAAAGAGTTTTATTAACATTGCCTTATAGTATTTTTTAGATCATTTGTTAAAAATGCAACTTTCAAAACAAAATGGAAATGAATAAATAGCATCAAGCGTGGGATGGAGAGAAATGGTATGACCACGTCAGAATGGGATGGATATTTATTTTTAAAGCCGAAGTTACTAAAATAGAGGGAAATTCAAATTCTTAACCCTGAAATCGTACAACCCGCAAACTTGAGCCCATTTTCCTGGTAAAATCTGAAGCTTCTTTCTCCTTCTCCCCCCCCCCCCCCCCCCCCCCTCTCTCTCTCTCTCTCTCTCTCTCTCAAAACCTCAATCAGTCAATCTTCCCTAGCTTCTCTCTCTAGAGAATCCAATTTATCTCTACGATCTTCGAAACATCATTTCAAAATCTCTTTATCTCTCACCTCCCAAGCATTCATTCGTATAATGACATGCACGACCTAATCGCCATCATCAACCGGCCATGTCGATCTCGCCGCCCTCAACCGAGAACGGCAAACCGCCTACGACAACGGTGTCATCCTCAGCCTCATCACCGAGTTCCATTTCGTACAAACTCCGGAAAATCCCTCCCATTCCCCTCCGCCGGATGCACAGGTCTGATGCCGCCGAATTGACCCTAGACGATTTCACTGATTTCTCCGGCAACAATGAGGAGGACGAGGAGGAAGAAGAAGACGGGCAGGAAGAAGATTCGGGATTCGAATTGCGAGATCCAAACGACAAATCACCGATAATTCTCCCATCTTCCCTAGGATTGAACCATATCAGGACACGATCGGTTCCGACGCCTTCTCCTCTTAGGTTTTCGTCCTCCGCCGGCATGCCTTTGAAGGTGCCCAGTTCTAAAGACCGGAGCAATGCTAAGGAGGAGAAATGTCGGGGGCAAGGAACGGTCAAGGCATCGATTAACCATCAGATCCCACCGACGGACCCCGGTAACTAACCCTTTTGGAATTTTGAATTTCATTTGTTTGTGTTCAACTACTCTTGTGCAATGGAGAAATTGGCTTATGTTATGTTAGGACGAAAGTCTTCGTGGAGTCACTCGAAATCCTTACGACATCCATCACCGCTAAATCTAGCGTTGGAGGTAACAAAAAAAATATACAAATGTCTGTGTGTTTGGAATTTGTCGAATGAGAATCCGATTGAATGCATATAGCTTCAGGGTTTTGTTTGCTCTCTCTTGTAGACCCACCATGCGGCGTTTGCCAAAGAACTGCACTCGCCACGGTTCCGGGCCATTATGCGGGTTACCAGTGGTCGGAAAAAGAAAGCCCCCGATGTCAAGAGCTTCTCTCATGAACTCAACTCGAAAGGGGTTCGGCCTTTCCCAATGTGGAAGTCTAGAGCATTTGGACACATGGAAGTAAGAACAAATCTCATACCCTGGTGTTTTGCTGTTTTGTATGATCATTTTTGTTTTCCCTTCTCCAGTTTTTTTATATTTTTGTTGAAACCAATAGGAAATTATGGTCGCAATCAGGGCAAAATTCGACAAGTTGAAGGAAGAGGTAGATTGTGATTTGGGTATATTTGCTGGGGATTTGGTTAGCATACTAGAAAAGATCTCCGAGTCTAATCCTGAATGGAGGGTGAGTTTAGAGGACTTACTGCTCATTGCTCGAAGATGTGCAAAGATGCCATGTAGTGAATTTTGGGTGAAATGCGAGGGAATTGTTCAAGGTTTAGACGACAAACGTCAGGAGCTACCAATGGGGATCCTTAAACAAGCACATACACGCCTTCTATTCATCCTCACTCGATGCACTAGGCTTGTGCAGTTCCAAAAAGAGAGTTGTTATGAGGAAGATAACATTCTGGGTCTTCACCAGTTAAGTGATCTCGGAGTTTACCCAGAACAAATGCTGGCGATCGCACGACAGGATTATAGTGGGCCGTTGGCAGCTGAGAAGTTGTTAAGTGATAGCCAGAGAAAGAAGATTCATGATGACCGAAAGAGTGTGGGAGTGAAACATGAAATTGTGGAGCCAGAAGTCAGCACTGCCAAAAGTACTGATTCAAGTACAAGCAGCTATAGGATTTCGTCCTGGAAAAAGCTTCCGTGTGCTCTAGAGAGACAGAAGAAAGCCCATGATGCAGTTGATGATACACCTCTGAAAGCCAAATCAGAACCACCATTACAAGGTGAAACAAGAATCAATGGTGATGACAACAATTCTGAAACTCTTGAAACTCCTTCTGTACATCCCCCATCAACAGCTGCAGTGAGAAAAGCTTCATGGGGGTATTGGGGGGAACATCATCATAATCTTACCTATGATAATTCGATGATATGTCGAATATGTGAGGTCGAGATACCAATCGTTCATGTGGAGGAACACTCACTTATTTGTACAATTGCTGACAGATGTGATTTGAAGGGGTTAACTGTAAATGATCGACTCGAACGAGTAGCAGAGACTCTTGACAAGATTCTTGAATCTTGGACACCAAAAAGCACTCCCAAAAGCCCTGGGAGTGTCCATGACTTGGATGAGGGAGGCGGCTTTGCTCATAACTGTCCTGAAGACCTGCTCGATGGTATGGCTGATGCTGCGGAGAATGCATTTGTTGCGGAAGAACTAAATGTTCTACCACCAAGGTCAATAGAGTCACGTTCCAGTTTGGCACCTAATGCGGAATTAAAAGCATCTCCATCTGGAAGCTTGACACCTAAATCACCATTGTTAACTCCACGCACCAGCCAGATTGCATTGCTCTTAAGTGGAAGGAGAACGATATCTGAACTAGAGACCAATCAGCAGGTTTAGCCCAATCGTGATTTAGTTATTATTGCCTAGTGTGAATTCGTATAATTTTTTTTATAAATATTTGAGTCTTTAATTTCTCCAACAGATAAGCAAGTTGCTCGAGATTGCACGTTCTGTTTCAAATATAAATGGCATCGATTATAGTTCGTTGGAGTCCATGCTTGACCATCTCGATGACCTGAAGTACGCCATACAGGACAGGAAGGTGGACGCTCTCATTGTAGAGACTTTTGGACGACGAATTGAGAAATTATTACAGTAAGTTTTCCTAATCAATCATTGGTTTACTAGGAATCCACCAGTAAAATAACATGTCATCGTTTTATTTCCCCCCTTGTTTTGGGAACTTCCAGAGAGAAATATGTACATTTGTGTGCTCAGATAGATGACGAAAGACTAGATCATTCAAGTCATATGGCTGATGATGAGAGCTCTGTGGAAGAAGATACCCACCGCAGTTTGCGTGCAAGCCCTATGAACACATGTTCTAAGGATCGAACGTCAATAGAAGATTTTGAAATCATAAAACCTATAAGCAGAGGAGCATATGGACGGGTTTTTCTCGCTAGAAAAAGAGCTACCGGTGACTTGTTTGCTATAAAGGTGATATTCCTACACGTTTGCCTCAAATATGTAAATTGATGTACCATGCATACAATGCTAAGTAATATGAGTGGTTGATCATCTTCTCTTGAGTAATAACCCTGTTAAACAATCATTGTCAACAGGTTTTAAAGAAGGCTGATATGATTCGGAAAAATGCTGTTGAAAGCATATTGGCAGAGCGCAACATCCTGATTTCACTTCGTAATCCATTTGTGGTAAGTCAAGGCTCTTATGAGACCCCACTGTTTGAGTGTGCATTAAGATACTATATGGGCTAGTTCTAATGGATGTTGCAATCAATGATCAAACAGGTCAGATTTTTCTACTCCTTCACATGCAGGGAAAATCTCTATCTAGTTATGGAGTATCTAAACGGCGGAGATCTCTACTCTCTCTTGAGAAACTTGGGTTGCTTGGATGAAGACATGGTTCGCGTATATATTGCAGAAGTTGTAAGTGGCTATTTGTAGACACGCTTGATCCTCCAAATTAAATTTTACATAATAAAAATAGAACTTCTCACCAATAGTCAAATAGTTGGTTTTATTTTTTCCCAGGTGCTTGCTCTGGAGTATTTGCATTCTTTGAATGTGGTTCACAGAGATCTGAAGCCAGATAACTTGTTGATCGGTCAGGATGGTCACATTAAGGTTAATGTTGTGACCATTTTTTTCTTTGCTGCCTGTTATTTGTTCCTTGACCTTTCTATAAAAAAAATTATAATTCATGTTGTCACAGTTGACAGATTTTGGGTTGTCCAAGGTTGGTCTTATTGATAGCACCGATGACTTATCTGGTCCACTAAGAAGTCCTGGTTTTCTTAATCATAAAGCAAGGAATGAACAAACAACATCAACAAGAGAAGAGCGCCAAAAACATTCAGTCGTTGGTACCCCAGATTATTTGGCCCCTGAGATTCTTCTTGGCATGGGACATGGTTCGTTAGTCTGTGTTCTTTTTCTTTGTGGCTTTTTTTATAGCTTTAAGTTCTCGAAATTTATCTTCTCATTTCAATATATTATCTTATGTAGGTGCTACTGCAGATTGGTGGTCTGTGGGGATTATTCTTTTTGAGTTGCTTGTAGGTATTCCTCCATTCAATGCCCCATCTCCTCAGGTACTCTAATATGGTCAACTAATGCTTCAATTCATGAAGTACGTTTTGCTTGGCTTTAAATTTATTCCTTGGCCCTAACTCAAAGTATTTCCTCGGTCTTTAGTATATCAACCATTTGGGACTTGGCTTAACTTTTGATCATATTCTTTATGTAGCTAGTATTTGACAATATAATGAACAGAGATATACCCTGGCCTAGGGTTCCTGATGAGATAAGTTATGAAGCATATGACTTGATTGACAAGTAAGATACATATCTCTATTCACAACTCTCTACATAAACTCATGACTTTGAGAATGACTTAAATCATCTCTCTCCAAGCTATAGTGACTTTTCATTAAAACAAAGGTTCTTGTTTGTTGCACTCATGTATGAGAAAGGTTCTTACCAATTTACTAATAAACACATTGTTGTATGGGTTGTACAAATTACTGTGTTTGGTTGAGGCAAAATTGGTAAACTGTACAAGAAAAGCAAGCGCAATATTCCATCTTGGGTATTCTTTCTAGTCGTCTCACTCATTGAAATAGATAATTTGTTTCCATTTGCAGATTGCTCACAGAAAATTCAGTTCAAAGGCTAGGGGCAACCGGCGCCAAAGAGGTATGTGTCTTGAAGCCATTGACTAGACAACAATATAAAGTACTTGCTCGTCTGAAAATCAAGCGCATTTTTAACTCTTCTGCACAGGTGAAGCATCATGCTTTCTTTAGGGACATCAATTGGGACACGCTTGCAAGGCAGAAGGTTATGCTCATTTGTGTTTGGTGATGAATGTCTAGCAAAAAAGTCAATCATTCAGAACACCTGTTAAAAGCAATGATGCTGCATTTTCTCACAGGCTACATTCATACCAGCTGGAGAAGCACTCGACACAAGTTACTTCATGAGCCGGTATATATGGAATCCTGAAGATGACAATGTTCGCGGAGGTAGTGATTTTGATGACCTGACCGACTCATGCAGCACTAGTTCACTGGGAAACACACCAGATGAGGAGGTACTGAACACTCCACTTGTTATCAGTTGATTTTTTCCACTAGCATTTATAGATCTCAAAGAGTTTTTGAGAATCATCATAATGTTATGTCCATTGCATGTTACACTTTTAGGGAGATGAATGTGGTAGCTTAGCTGATTTTGGTGGTCCAACACTTGCTGTGAAGTATTCGTTTAGTAACTTCTCCTTCAAGGTAAGACCTAAGCTAAAAAAAAACTATACTGATCCTATTTCTGCTCATCCTTTCCATATCGAACCATCTAATCATTTGCTCCTTCTATTCTTTTCTTTTTTGTTTCAGAACTTGTCGCAGTTGGCTTCTATCAACTATGACATGGTCATCAAGAGTACCAAAGAAGCAGCGGATGTCTCTAAGCAATCTGTTCCATAGTCAGTAGTTCTCCCACGAAACAAATACATTATTGCAAAGGGAGGCCTGGAAATCTCGAGGAAGAGCACCAAAGAAGCAGCAGACCATCCCACTACTCGAGCAAACATTAAGGTCAGTCCTCTTTGGAAAGCTCTGAATGTATAGCTCTACAAAAACTGTGGACTATGAAAGAGAACCTGGTTTGAAACCACCTAGAAGCAGGGATTTCACTGTTGCAATAGATTTACTCACGAAACCTTTTCGCTGAATATCGCAGTTTTGTACATAAAGCCGTAGATTTATTTAAGAGTTTCAATTTTTTTGGTTCTTCTCCCAAACAATTTCTTGTTTGAGGAGTTGAGGAGGGTGTGATTAGAAAGGAAAGAATCGCATCCATACCCTCATAATTTAGCTAATTTGTAATTTCAACACGTTGTATTTTTTGATTCAGTGTCAGGAGGAGATGATTGTAGGAGAGAATATTATGTCTTTTTATTTACTTGAACTAGAGCGAATCTGTGTTCGTTTGTATTATTAGTTAATTTTCTAATTATAGGGGGAGTCATGTGATTAAGACATATTAATAAAGTAAAGCTTAGGTTAGCTGTCAACATTGTATGAGCTATGGATTCCAGTTGAGAGAGATTAGATTAGTTTAGACTTTAGACTTGAGGTTTGGTTTTGTGGGTTGGAAATACAATTGTCTATGCAGGTTCCAAGAACTTCTGCTAAAAGAATACACAAAAGGGCCAATGAGCTCAATGTACCGAGGGAAGCCCTGATTGGTTGCTGTTTTGCTGGGACTTTTTGAATTTTAGATATTGGAATTTTTTTTTTTTGTTGCAGTTTAGTAAAAGTTTACGTACCTTTCATTTTTGTTTTCCGTTTATTGTTTACATTCCATAAATCTAGCAACGCAAACAAGAAATCCTTTTTACTTTTCATTTTGTTTTTTGTCATTTCCCACTCTGAAAACAGAAAGTGACAGTTTCCTGCTATTTCCAAAAATGATAAAATGTTGTTTTCCAGTTTTCAACGTATGTTTCTCGTATTTACAACAAAAAAAATTTCTTCTTATAAATGAGGTGAATCTTTGTTTCTTCAGTAAGTAGTGAGGTGATTTTTTTTCTTCCATTAATTGATAAGATTGTTGCTAGAATTAGTAGCTGGAAATCTCGATTCCTTTCATATGCTGGTAGGGTAGAGCTTGTTAGTTCAGTATTGTACATCTTACATCAGTACTGGATGGCAGTCTTTCTCCTCCCAAAAACAGTGATAAGGGAAGTGGAGAGCATTTGTAGCAACTTCTTATGGGGAGTGGGTCAGAGTGGTAGAGTTAAAGCAAAGATTAGTTGGAAGAATCTTACCTATCCTACGAAGGAGGGGGTCTAGGGCTGAGAGACTTAGCAACCTGGAATTTAGCTTGTGTTACTAGACATATCTGGCTACTTTTATTGCAACATGGTTCTTTATGGGTTGCGTGGATCAGTTCATACAAACTAAAGGGCCAGGACTTACGGTTATATGAGGGTGGTTCTGTTTCTTGGAACTGGAAGAGAATTCTTAAAGTGAGGCACAAGGTAAGAGCATACATTCACCAGAATGGGCAAGATGTCTATTGGGACCAGGATAAAATGGAGAAATACTCAATCAGGAGGGTCTGGGAAACCTTAAGACCAAAGAAGCAGAAAGTGGCATGGTTTAAGCTGTTATGGCAGGGCAGTTCTATTCCTCGAAATAGGTTCATCACTTGGATTATCCTGAACAGAGCAGTTACAACTAAAGGGCAGATGGTGAAATGGGGTTTTACAGGTAGCCTGGGGTGTGTGTTCTGCAACTGTCAGTTGGAGACTTCATATCACTTGTTTGCTGAATGTGTGATGTACAGGAAACTGATTTGTAAGCTGTTTGGTAGGAGCTCAGGGGCCTCCTCTTCTCTGGACAGTGAGCTTGGGTGGATGCTGCAGAGACTCGGTTCTAAAACGTTGACATCTCAAGTTGGTAGAGCAATGTGGCACAGCTTGGTTAGTGTGGTGTGGCGAGAAAGGTGCAGTAGGGTGCATTCAGGAAAGTGTAGGGATAGTGACGTATTGTGCAAGGTTATACAAGAGGAAGTGATAGGAATTTTTGGTAGGCAAGTATATGATACCTTTGTATACCATATTATACAGGTGGAAAATTTTGGTCTCGTTAGCTCCTAACTAGCAAGGATGTTGCTAGTACCATTTTTGATGAAATGAAACATACCCAATTCATTAAAAAAATTAATGACATTCACAATTATTTTTAATACTTTTGTTTTAGTACTTTAAATTTTCTCTTTTACCCAACTTTTCTCTTTTTATTAGATATAATTTTCACCTTGTAGACTATTTGAAACCAAATGAATCCATAATTTATTTTCTAATATATCTAATAATTCAATTCAAAATGAATTAGCAATATGTGTATTCAAAATTAATCATTGAAAAATGCATCAACTACATGAATGGAGTTCCAAAAGTAACAATGTTATCATTACTCAACTTATTCAAAAAATAGCTTTGAAAATGAATTCATTTGTCTTTTAAACATAAAACATTTCATTTAAAAAATAAATATCTAAAACCTTATGGAATTCATTTATATTAAATAATATGTTAGATTTGATTTAAAAGGTCACTATAAAATTTATATTCATATGATATCTTCTCTAGTAAAATAAATTTTCATTCTCCTTTTTATATTTTAATACTTTGACTTTATCATTTACTTGTTGGATCATTCAATTTTTCCTTACCTTGATTTCAAACACTCTACCATTGTTCAGGTTTCTGTTTTAAAACTCATCAAAATTTCAGTTAAACAAGCTTTCATTTTCAGGTTTTCATTTTCAAAATTTTAGGTTTTGTTTCTCAAAAAATGGCAACTTCATTTCACTAAAGTTCCGTTTTCTGTTGCACAATCTGACAAGATATGCTCGTCTCTGCTCACGGGGTGACTCTGTTCCTCATCATGATACATGCTCCACATTTTGCTTATACTAAATTATTAACTACCGAGTTATATAAATAAGGGTATGCCTACTATGACATGCATGTCACGGTGACATGCACTTTTCGGTCGACCTATTGCTGAAGGCGGTCGACCGAATCGACTAATTTGGGCAGCACGAGAAAGCATTGCGGTCGACCTCAACGATCACCTGGTCGACCGCACTTAGTTTAAGTTGTTATTTTTGGTCGACCAGAATAAAACCTGGGTCGGCCATTTCGTTGGCGTCAGAAACAACATGGTCGACCACCCAAGGTATATAGGTCGACCACTTGATTGCAGTCATTAACAAAATGGTCGACCGGATGATGAAAGAGGTCGACCAGATAGAAGATAAGTGTTCTATCAAAGTGTCCAATTATTTGACGTAAAATCAAGATCAAGTGTTGGTTTCGCGGTCGACCTAATCCGTTACGAGGTCGACCGAATACAAGAAAGTCACCCTATGCCCCGTGTCTTTTTTGCTTATGTATGTCGATTTGTGTGGTTCTTTTAATCGTATAAATTATGTTTCAAACCATCATAATTAGTCATAATTATAACAAGGACTCATCAATTCATAACATAACAACTAAAAATAAAACAGAAATCATAATTGTTCACACATAAAAATAAAACTAAAAAAACAACAGAATAACACTCAACAATCGTTTTGACCACTAAAACACACAATATAAAAACTCATTTCTCCTACTCATCTCCCCCCTCTCTCTCATCCACATTTTCTTCATTGGTGGTGCTAGCATGATGGTGGTCGGATGTGGTGGGATGCATGTATCTTCCGCTGAAAGATCGCCACTCATCTCGCATCTCATTCACGGTCACCTGCATTGTGCTCATCTGGGCGGTCATTTGCCCCATGTAGTCGTGCATGCCAGTCATCTGGGTGGACATCTGGCCCATGTACTCGTACATGCCATCCATGCGCTCCCACACACGCTGTAAGGTGATCGGTGGAGTTGAGCTCTGTGCCTCCGCCATTGGCTCGTCTCGAGCTCCTTCATCACCTTCATCATCATCATCATCATCACCACCATGAGCATTGTTTACTCTGACATACTCACCATTACGCAGCTCAAAGCCCATCTTTTTCAGAGATGAAACAGTATAGAACTCCTGCCTTGAGATTCTTAACCCCACCTCTTCACTTAAATTCACATTAAAATGCTCAAATAGCACAGTGAGGATCATCCCATAGGGAAGATTCCTGTTTGAACTCTCTGCAGCAGTAAGCATGTGGTTAAAGATTAAGTATGGCAAGTTCACCTTCTCGCTTAACAGTAGGTTGGTGAGGAGCTCCATGTCGAAGTAGGTGACTGTCTCCCGATGTCCACCCTTTGGCAGAATGTTGTAGGAAAGCATGTGGTGAAGAACTCTGGCTTGAACTATCAGGTGGTTACTCGATGGCCTATTGCGCCCCTGAGCATCTTCCTCTTCATCAAGAACACATACCGTCTGGATTTGCTTGGCTCTCGTGAAATGCGTTTCATTCCAAGCACCGTAAGAATTGATTCTCTTCCCCTCGTTTGGAGCCTCAAGTACTTGCGCCAACACATTCTTGCTGATGCGCATCGCCACCCCATTCACATAGGATTTGAATGCGTGAATGGATCCATTTGCATTGCGCTCGTAGACGATGTTGTTGTAGAAGTACTGTACCAGTTTTGGGTAGTATGGTACATTGAGAGATATCACCTTCAGCCACTCTTGCTCGATGAAGGGTCCCAGAAACCCGTAATTCTCGAAATGAGAATACGCATCCGTCGTCAATGGCCTTCCCGGAGCCACCCTGCGGTTGTGCATTCTCTTCTCTTCATAGTTCTCACTTTGCTCCTTGGTCTGGAACAGATTGGGATTGAACTCTTCCCATTCCGAACTTGAGGCAGCAGCTTTTTGTGCCTTTCTTTTCTTTTTGCCGCCAAACATCCTGCGATCAAACAAGCAAGAATACACGTTAGTCACATTTTCGAAATAAACAATACGCGGTCGACCATTCCATAAAGCGGTCGACCTCAGTTAGTTTAAAACGAGAATGGGTCGACCTCAGAAGAATCATAGGTCGACCTCAGTTAATTTAAAACGGGAATGTGTCGACATACACGAATTTTTGCCTTCATCGGTCGACCTCAGAAGCATCATAGGTCGACCTCGGCTTAATTGAAACGAGTCTAAAATGGCCCAAATCCTCGTACCAATTGAGTGCAAAACAGATCCGGTCGACCTCATAATTAGAAGAGGTCGACCAGTGTTAGTTTCGCACAAATAATTCAAAAACAATTGCACAACTCAAACTTTTGCCTTCATCGGTCGACCTCAGAAGCATCATAGGTCGACCTCGGCTAAATTGAAACGAGTCTAAAATGTGCCAAATCCTCGTACCAACTGAGTGCAAAACAGATCCGGTCGTCCTCATAATTAGAAGAGGTCGACTAGTGTTAGTTTCGCACAAATAATTGAAAGACAATTGCACAACTCCAACTTTTGCCTTCATAGGTCGACCTCAGAAGCATCATAGGTCGACCTCGGCTAAATTGAAACGAGTCTAAAATGGGCCAAATCCTCGTACCAATTGAGTGCAAAACAGATCCGGTCGACCTCATAATTAGAAGAGGTCGACCAGTGTTAGTTTCGCACAAATAATTCAAAGACAATTGCACAACTCGAACTTTTGCCTTCATAGGTCGACCTCAGAAGCATCATAGGCCGACCTCGGCTAAATTGAAACTAGTCTAAAATGGGCCAAATCCTCGTACCAATTGAGTGCAAAACAGATCCGGTCGACCTCAGAAAAAACATATATCGACCTCGGAAAATTTAAATCGATTGAAAGCCAATTGTGCTTTCAAAAGCCGTGCAGTTCAGGACATTAGACCACCTTGTAATGCACT